ATTCAATCATCTAGTAATTTTAAAAAGTAAGTTACATTATCAATTAATACATTTCTTTTCATATTGTTTTCTTCAATTTTTTTATCACGCAAGTTTTTGTTCGGTAATAAGCTATGCAAAGCTAAATTGATTATTCTTATAATGTAAAAATTTTTGGAAATGACTTCGTTTTTTTTTTGTTTACAAAATTGAAATGTATCGCCATGATTTCAATTAATTAGATAATCTTCAAATCTTTGATCCAATTTAAGAAGAGAGAGATTAAATGAATTTAAATATCATTTAGAATAGATTATCTTTCTGTCGGCAAATCTGTCTTCTTTCTTTATATTGTTTGATTCTGCTTGCTTAAAAATATACCAGTTCTTTTGTTAAACATATAATTATTACCAGTTGTTAACAATTAATTAATTATCATTTGCTAACCTTTCGGTTTTACTACCTACTGTAGTAATATTAATATGCATTCGTTAAAATTGAAATAAAGTGAATAAGCACGGAAAAGTGAGAAAGAAGCAGGAAACGGAGATCGGAGATTGACGAAAGGAGGATGAAGTCAATTGATATCAATCATATAAAAATGTATATAATCATTCTTATTCAATTCATTAACGGAAACTTGCATATTTTATCAATATCATTATCAGTGTCATTATCATTGTCATCACTAACATCATCATCATCATCTCTCGGTTAGTGACACAAAATGGGACAAATGAAATGACAATAAACGATGATGTTGACGTCACATTTTTAATACAACTACAGGAATTAATTGATGATAGCTTTAGGGTTTCATTTTAATATTAATATAAATTAGGATGTCAAGCTTCGATAAATGTATATGAAATAAAACAAATATGAGATGACAGATTGAAAGAGTTTAACAACCAACTGAAAAGATAGTACTGATATGTTGGAGAGAATGATTAGATGAAATTTTGTCATCGGTGGTTTGATTTTCAACTATATCCACAATTATCGCCTCAAGCTGTAATATATAAAGGGTATAATTTTTGTTTCAATTGCCAGTTGATATTCCAATCTTCTCACTGCATTTCCACTATCATCAATTATCCATTCTTATAATTGTGAAGCAGATTTAATCATTTCTTGTTAACTGATCTGGTTGACCGGGGTGTATTTGTTTGAAACGACAAATTGAATTGTAATTATTCTGTCTAGTGAGGAGAAAGAGAGAGAGTTAGAAAGAAAGACGGATTTAATTCTGCAATGGTTAGTTCAAAATTTCACTTTTCTTTTTAAATAAACAAAAAAAAAACGAAAGAAGATTTGAGTTTTAATTCAATGAAGAAGATATTATAGCTCATAGTTTTTTTTTTCTTGAAAATATTAGTTAGAGAATTGAGAAATTTTTTAAAATAATTCCAACATAATTAAAAAGATATGATATGGAATATTTTCAATAAACCATAAGGAAAACTAACAAATATTTCCAATTAAATGATTTTTAATAAAATTAATTGATCTAATCACTATCCTAATTTGCATCTCTTTTTTTTTGATTTGGCTATTTTATATGTGTGTATGCTTATAAGTTAGTAATTTTAAAAAAGAGAACAAAAACGAAAATTATAATGAATGATAATGGAACGGAAAAAAATATTTTTCCGAAATAAGTAGCGGATTATTTTGGAAGAAATTATTTCAATCCAATACTTTTCTTATCCTATTATAATCTGAATTATTCCATTGTTTATTTAGATATATTATTATCTTAAGTAGTAATACTAATTGCCAATTACTTGCATATTGTTTTTGTTTTATCTTTTTGATGATATTTATAATTGATTGAATGAGCTTAATTGCCAATAAATTTACTGATAAGTTGCAGAAACTAACAATTGAATGGGTAGAAAAGAAATAAGTTGACATTTATATAATTTATAAACTAATTATAATTTATGCTGAAGTTAAAGAATTAAAAAAAAAATGCTATTGCTGTGAAATATTTATTTTCATCATAATGCTAGCTTGTTTACTTTTATTGTCTCAATTATTTCAATTAATAAAACAACAAATATTTATATGGCTTTGAATAAGTTTGTGTGTAGCATATAGTGATAAGATAACTATTTAACTAACATTGTAGAAAAATGAAATTTAATTGTTGATCCCAACCAAAATTGTATGAAATCCTTTGGCACTCTTCATGTTGTCACAGATATTCTTTCAATGATAATCGATGATGGCAAGCGGACGCATAGATTAACTCACGTAAATTAAATTTGTGTGGATAAGTAGCAGTAGCAAAAAATAGTTAATTATATACGTGTTCATTAGCTTCATGATTACTTAATAATTCTACGTAGCAAACGCTTAAACACATTACGCTAAGCAGGACCCGGATTTTATCAATCAACATGTTTGCAATTAGTAAAAAATGCAAACAACAAATAAGCAATTAAAAATTAACCTTAGAAAAATTGGCCTTAGATAGAAGTAAAATTTGTATAACTGCGCGATTTACTTGATGATATATATGTAATACTAAAAAACTTAATATGTGCGTGCTATATGTTACATGTTCACATAAATTTATTGATTGATAAAAATAACAATTTTTCATATAAATTTAAGTATTAATTATACAAATGCATCTTCGATAATTAAATTTAATTTCAGAAATTTTCAGTGCTAAAAATAATAATAATATATGACGTTTCTATTACATTATTGAAAGATTGCGAAAAATTAAGAAACTGATTAAAAAAAATATTGCCATTATGTTGGAAAGAAAAGAATCATTATAAAAATATGAATTAGAAAAAATTCAATTTCACTAAATTTTATCAAAACTTTTTTAAGACTTTGATGTTGATCAGACTACCAAAGATATCCCCTATTATCAAATATATTTCTTTAGAAGTTTTTCAAATGTTTGAATTTGAAGTTTTGTTGAATAATTTTTAAGTATGACAAATAAATAATAAAAGTATAACGTCTCAAATTTTCTAAATTGTATTTGATGCATTTTCATTAATATTTTAGTTACGTAAAAATAATTACGCTGAGAGCTGATTACTTCTTTTATAATCTTTATAATATTATGATTTTTTTTGGTGCAATTTATAACAAACGGGGTAGTTCGTTTTTTGCATTCATTCCTTTTTCTTTTTGAAACACATGAATATTGCATAATTAAAGTTAATAGGTAACTGTAACCATACACAGTTTTAAAATATGAGAGAAACGACAAAGTTCAATCTTCATAAAAGTTAATAAATTGCAAATTTTGTCAAACTATTTTAACTCTTATAGGATAGCAGAGAAAACGATTGGAAAAAATAGATAGTAAAACAAATGAAAAAGAAGTATTGCAAATTTTCAAAGTTTTCAAATAACTTCTTCGAAAATTTTCCATAAAGAATTCATAAACGACTCTTTTATTTTTCATTTTAAATGACATTAAAACGACAGAAAATGATTTATATAATGATACGCCGATTGCAAATATATTAAAATCACAGTGCGATGAATATGATTGTTGAAAATTACTCATAAAATAATCAATTAATTAATCAAATGATTAATTGATAAGTAACACCGATTAAATGATTAAGACTTTTCACTTTTCATTATTATCAATGTAACAAAAGTTTTAACAATGATTGCATATACGGCAATCATTGATCAGATCCTCTAAACATTACATTCTCTTTTACTTTTTATCCAAAACAATAACATATTTTCAGGAATTTGCGCTAATACCAATCCTGCTGGTTTATCCGGTATCGGCATGTTTCGGCGGTTCCGGATGCTGTCATTCACAACAACAGGGATGCGGATCTTCTTGTGGTGGAGGTGTACCGGTTGGTGGCAGAGGAGGGTAAGTTAGTTTATTCACTTTACATAATAAAAGAATTTCAAAAATAAAATAAATGTTGGAAGAACAGGGAAAAAATTTTTCATTTTTTTTATTTTAAATATTAAATTGTTCAATAAATTGAAAAATGAAAATTTGAGGTAACAAACGCATTTGCTTAATGTGTATGAATGATTTTTGAATTGCATTAAGTGATGAAATTGAAACTAAACAAGTCATATCAATGAAGAATGAAAATGATATACTTACTGAAATAAACATATTAATAGTTTAATTAATAATTCATAATCATTGATGATATTTTTTCAAATAATTGCACCATTTTATTTAATTCGTAAATTTTTAGGTATGCAGTTCCATCCGGAGGAGGAAGTTATGCAGCACCAGCACTTAGTGCTCCTTCATCTTACAGTGTACCTTCAGCACCAGGAGGGGGATCTTACGCTGTGGGTCCAGCACCCGCACCACCGTCATCTTACGGTCTAGGCTCAGCACCCGCACCAGCATCTTATGGTATAGGCCCAGCGCCTGCACCAGGGCCATCATACAATGCACCTCAAGGAGGACCGTCGCCAGGATTTTACGGTGGACCACAGGCACCATCATATTCTGGTGGTCCATCAGCCTTCGGTGGAGCACAGGCACCATCATATTCTGGTGGTCCATCAGCCTTCGGTGGAGCACAGGCACCATCATATTCTGGTGGTACATCAGCATACAGTGGACAACAGGGAGCGCCACCATCACAATTTAGAGATCCTAGTCTGGGTGGTGCACAAGCACCCCTACTACCACCAGAAAATCCATCAGTACCAGGACGATTTGCAGAAGCTGTTGAACAAGCAACTCTTCCTGATGGTACAAATCTCCTAATTTTATTATTTGTAAATTAGGAAGGAAAAAATTCACGTTTAGATTATGTTAAAAAGTGTATAATATTTAATTATATAAAGTAAACTAATTCATTTATTATTGATAAACTTGATGATTTTTCAAAATTTTACTATTATTACAATAAATTAAAGAAAAAAAAGAAACAATTCATAAACTATATCTTTAAAATATTATACAATTTCTGCAATTATTTATTTAAATATATCAATCATATTTTTATTTCCAAGATTTGCTAATACAGCAAATGAGACAGACAGTTTAATTCATTATACATGTAGAATTGTGCATAGTTAGAATTTCCTTGGTTTTTTTTAACCTTTTTTAGGTGGCGCAATTGATCTTGCAGGCATTTCATCAGCATCATCATCCATTGGTGAACCGATTGAAGGTGCAACGCACGACGTTGTTCAACAGCAAGCTCCAACAGCTTCAACAATACAAGCCGTTCCAGTTATTACAAAAAATAACAAACTACGACATTGGCGATATTAATTAACCCAAAAAAAAAACGAAAAAAGAAAATTACACACAAATTATTTCATTCAAATTTTACGATGATGTAAATTAGTAATTTTTTTTTTCATGAAAATTGCATTGTTGGATAATTAAACGAATAGAAATTTTTTTTTTCTTTTCTAGGATCATTAATTAAACTATTATTCTAGCAAATTTCATTGATTCTCTATCTATTTGCAATCTATCATATACAATGAATTCATTTCATCCCAAACATCAATCATTTTGATACAAAAAAGTAAAAAGAAAAAAAGAGGATAAATGAAAATGAATGGGGAAAACTGCAAAAGAAAAAAAATTTTAATATTACAAATTTCCTAGAGTTTAAATTAAATTTATTTAGCATTTTTTTAATTTCATCAAACTGCTCTTCCTGCTGAATTCCCATAATTCAACAAGAGTTTTCTTTTTTTTTTTTTCATAATCTATGTTAAACTGCATCACTTAGTCTATTTCATTATTTCGAATTTTATCATATCATTTGTACTTTCAAACCTCTCCTCACGCCACTTTTCATTACAATATTATCATAAATGAAACGTAAAGCTAATTTTTTGGAGACAAAAATTATAAACGTTGTTTATATAAGTGTATCTCGATGTGTTATAATTTTGTGCAAGAGAAAATAAAAGAAAAAGATTTTTTTTTTTTCAATTACATGTCTCAAAACTATTTTTGTAACCATTGGAATATGATCAAAAAGGGATTGCGGATATTTGAAGAAAAATGACAATTCGCATTGAAGAATTAATTGGTAATTAATTATCCAATTAATGATGTATGAAATTAATGAGATCAACTTTTACAAGAATTCAAGTTATTTCTTTAATAAATTTAAAAAAAAGAAGAAAAAGAGAACAAGCCAGCAATAAATTATGAATTATAGCGATATATAATAAAAAATTCTCGAATTACATGCAAAAAAGCTAAAAACGCTAATCAATCAATTTTCAGTTGTTTTTGATCAATTAATAAATCACTCTGTTTTTCAAATAGTTTTTTTTTTCAAAATTACTGTCATATTTAGCATATATTAATAATTGAATATGGATAAGAAATATATGCATGCATTTGCTAACAGTTGTTGAAATATGAATTTGTTTAGTTATGCAGCGCTTAAATTTAAATAACTAAATAAATTGCTTAGTGAAAAAAAAATTTTCGAGTTAAAATATATGTTAACAATTAAAGCATTCTTGAAAAGCTCTGGTATAATTTTGCAATGAATTTAAAATAATTTTAAACATTCATTGTGCTTTCATCATTAATGACCTAATAATAATGATGAAAAACTTTAATTTCCTTGAGCATTGTTTCATGCTATAGAAGATGAAGAAATGGATTGCAAAAACCGGTATTTTATAGGGTGGAACAATATTGAGAAAGAGATCCGGCTCAAATTTTGCAAACATAAATTCTCGTAAATAAGTTATATATGGGCAAAGTATAAATCAAACATGTCTACGTGTAGCAGTGCACCCGGTTTCCGGTTTCCATAACATATTTAGTTAAAAATAAATGGGCAATTCGTTGGAATGTTATGAAGAACTGATAAGTCTAATACGTGCTTCCCATAGTTCCACTTTATGATCAAAGCATAAACAATATGATGAATAAATGACACGTTTAAATATGCCAGTTATCTCTATTGATATGATAAAATGATTTGAAATATGATGAGGCATGATTAAAAGGGATTAGCAAAATTTACTTCAAAATTTCCATTCTTAATAAATAGTCATTAAAGCATTAAGCATTCATTGCATTAGTCTCGTATTACTTAAGCGTTAAAAAGAAAAAAAAAATAATTTTTGCAGATTTTATTATATGTTACATAAATTTGATAATGGTAGCATGCAAAAATTTTTTCGCATAATTTTAACTTTTTTTCGAGAGATTTTTGAAATGATAATATGAAGTTCAAAAATTAGTCATAATGTGCTATTCTCGGACATTGCACAGACTTTAGAAAGTTAACGAAGATTTTTGTAACGTATTCAGTACTGCATGAGTTTTTTTATCAATTTCTTTTTTTCTTTTAAAGGCTATTTTATTATGTAGTAGCTGTAAATGATTTCCATTTTGCAGCTTACCGAAACGGTATGATTTTAATTAAAATCAACAACATTCAAATTCACAATTATAGCTTTTAATAATTCGCTTTATCGTTGTCAGAAAATAAGGACGATGTGTTCGAAGCGTAAAAGCTGAACATATCATATGTACAATATATTATGATATCTGAAATAAGGAAAGAGAAAAATTTAAATCCGGTTTTTTTTTTTCTCAAAATCACATTTGATACTCACCAGAATTATTTCCACTCAATTAGTTTACCATCATATCACAGCGATAAAATTGGAAATGAAGAAGAATGTCTAGACATCCTAATTGATTATCATTTGTTGCTAAGATGATTAAAATGATTATCCGAGCAATGAACTGATTATCATATACATACATATACGACTTCTTATAAAATGTTTCAATGAATATTTACTGATTGAATTTCCTTTCTGATTATTTTTATACAAATGATGTCAATATTTTATTCAATCTGTTTAATGATGAAATTTGATGAAATTTGCAAAAAAAAAAAAACAACATGATAAAATAATCGCAAAATAATTGTTATTATTTCTTTTCAATTGCACCAATTGAATTAACAATTCTTCTAGACGGAAGAAAGAGAAAAAAAAAATGCTTGCAATGACGAATTTTTGAAGAGGAAAAAAAAAAAAGAAGAAAAAGATTATTGTCATCACATTTAATTTTTCAAATTTTATCAGATTTATTTCTCAATGAATTTTAAATAAACAAAAGTAACATCAATTAAATTAGCCCCTTTTTTCCTCTACCTAATGTTTGTTTAATCCATTTCAAACAACATTTCTAATCAAAAGAGAAAAAAAAACTCTCTGGTACTACTACTAATTTCATATTCTACAAGAACAACTTTACTGTGCCATTTTATTCAGCCTATTCAGGCTCATTCAACTTGCTATCATCGAGAATTCAATTTTCTTAGTGTACGAAAAATTGCACAGAATATAGAAAGCAAAATATATGAATAGATAGATGAGATTAAAATAAGGTGTATCATCATAGAATAAGGAAAAGATAGATGAGAATAAAAAAGAATACACTTACGAATTGAACAGACTCGAATAATGGGGAAGAAACAGTGGGATAGGATAGGATAAGTGTAGGAGAATTTTAGAATATATTTACGACAACTGCAACCAATTACTTTATTTTGATGCTATAAATATTTCCTTGAATTTACATTTTAAAATGTACGGAATTGTAGCAATTTGCATCAATTAAAAAATTATACTCTCAATCACTGCTATAATTACTAGCCGTTGATATTTTCCTCATCCTCTCAATCTGTAGCAGCATCGTTTCGTTTTGAGCATCACTTCCTTCCGTGTCTCTGTGCTTTTTTTTCCCTAAATTCTCAATTATTGAAATAATCATAAAATGAAGCTGTACTATATAGTCATTTAAATTTGCGAATATATTATTCAAAAAAGATTTTACTGTCATCTTACTATTTTCAATCACTAACCCATCTGTTCCCATCATACCAAACGATTTCACATCCCTCTCTCAATTTTTCTTCCATATCTCTCTCTCTCTCTCTCTCTCTCTTCTATTCGACGACTTTTTGCTTCATTTCATTTCTCTAACCTATACATTTTTTCCTAACTTTTGCCTCACTCACAATCTCTAACACATATTTTTCTAACTCAAGCGATCTTCCTCGCATTCTCTTCAAAATTATTGTATTTTTCACAATGAGAATAATGAGCGCAAAACCGTTGAAGGTTTTCAAACTGTTTACAATGTGCAATCATTACCGCAGGTGTTTTTTTTTTAACCGGGATGGCAATGTTTTCCGTTTTCCGGTCAAGTTTTTGTTCCGGTTCCTGTTCCGGTTCCACTTCCCTCCTTATTTTGAGCATTCAAATTTGTTCGTTTAATTTTTTTTTTTTTTGATCTGATTACTATGATAATGCTAACTGGATAGTTTTTCTAGCTTTTTAAATCCAAATTATTGGGCAATTTTCATGAGCTTTCAATCCGGATAATTGATTGGTATTTGGAGGTGTATTTTTTTTTTTTGGTTTATTTTTGTATGAATGTTTTTTTTTTGTAGGATGATTTTTGGTAATATTATGAAGCAAAGCATTGTTAATATTGTTATTCATAAGGTTATTGGTACTTGTATTACTTTGGGTAATTGGGCAGGTTTTGGTGGTTTTTTGTTACTTAAGTTCTTTGTTACCTAAGTTATTTAAGTTTTAAGTTATCTAGTTCGAATGGTTTTTTTTTTTTTTGGAAGCAGGTAGGTTTAGAATTCGGTTTTGACATTTTACCGATCATAAGAATTGTTTGGTTACACTTATTGTGATCGAATAGAGGCTTATAATGCTAACTATCGAATCGTTTGTGATTTAAGACTTTTGTTACGTGGATTAAATTTAGCTGGAATAAATTAACAAAACAATCCTGCCTGAAAGAAATCATGTTGTCTTGTAGTTTGAGATAAATCGAAATGGCACTGACGTGAATGATTACCTTTTCTTATTTTAGGTCAAAGTTTCAAATGTTAAGCCGCCAAGTGCAAGGTTGGCGTACATTATGCAGATTTACGGGAATTTTCAATAAAGACACGCGAAACTGTACGACAAATGCTTCTGACAAAGCGGGAAAAAATAAACGTATGCAAATTTTGATTTCTTCTATAATAAAATTCGGTTTAAGTCGAAAGATTACCAAATTTTTATATCCAGATCTCAATTGTTTATACTTCCTTCATTTTTTTGAGCTTTTCCATGAGTGATTTTTAAATCTGGGAAATTATTTTCAGCAACAATTTGGAAAATTGACGATATAAAACGTGAGAAATTAGCTAAATTCGGTCGATATTGCGCGGAATGCTTACCAAAATTTGTACAAAGAGTGCAGGTATTCTTATTTTTTCCTTCTCATCTTCAAAAATGATATACTAACAGAGCATTAACGCTTGATCGTTCGTAAGTGCCGCTAGATTACATATTTAACTTATCTTTAGTAAGCTGATATTATGGATGCCCTTTAGAAAACTAATATTTCGTCAGGTTCTCCTATGATTTTGCTTTTAATAAAAGACACATAACGCTAAGTATTAGAACAGTTTTACTGTCATTTAAAATTTCATCAAATGGAATAAATCACTTCATCCTCATATTTTTCCAATAGTTCCGATAGCTTTCTTACAGTTTGCCGCTGGAGATGAATTAGAGCTATTGATTCATCCAAGTGGAGTTCTTCCTGTGATGGCATTTCTAAAAGGAAATCACTCGGCCCAATTCACTAATATTATATTTGTTACTGGAATGGATATCCCTTCACGGAAATTTCGTTTCGAGGTTTCCTTATTCCTACTTATGCATGGGTTGAAAGCTGTTTTCAAATTTTAAATAAATAACGTACTGCAAATTATTATCACATTAAAAAATGATCCGTTCAGCTAATTTTTCGCGACAGATAGGCTAGATAATGTTATAAAGTAATAGTAAACAATATGAAATATTACAATAATTACTGCGACAGTTCAATTTATAATATGTATTTTCCAATAATAAAAACTATGCTGTGCACCGATATTTGGAGAAAAAATACTAATTTTTTTAGTATTAAATGCTGAAATTTTGTGCATGCACAGTGGAATAGGAATATTTTAGAACTGTCTTTGATAATTTTTTCTTCTCCTCTTCTGATATTTCACTCATAGGATTATGTTGTTAATCTTAGGTCATTTATGCTCTTCTTTCGATTCGTTTCAATGCACGCATCCGGGTGCGCACGTACACCGATGAAATTGCACCGTTGGAGTCAATAACATCGATCTTCAAAGGAGCAAACTGGTAAATCAAATTTGAAACTCAAAATTTATTTAAATATACTAACTCTTTCATTCAACTTTATTACAGGTATGAAAGAGAAGTCTATGACATGTACGGTGTTTGGTTCAATAATCATCCTGATTTACGACGCATCCTTACCGATTACGGTTTTGAAGGGCATCCGTTCAGGAAAGATTTCCCCTTGTCTGGTTATGTTGAGGTGTGTTTTTTCGGATTCCTGAATGCACAAAAATCATAAAGCTCGCAGTGAAATATACTGCAGACTTATGAAATTGTTAAATATGGCTTTTAGTTGCGGTATGATTCGGAACTCGGTCGTTGCGTATATGAACCAACTGAACTGGCACAAGAATTCCGGAAATTTGATCTAAAAACTCCATGGGAATTGATGCCTAATTTTCGTGAAGAATCTATGATGTCACGCTACGAACAAATCGGTTTGGAGGAGCCCAAAGAAGAAACCCAGAAGGATAAGAAATAATTTATTTAATTTAATATAGGCAGTGTATATAACAAATATGCTAGAAATCGATTTGCCAAGCAAAAAACTGGAAGTGCCTGAATTGACTGAATCCTATTACAAATAGGTAGGAAGAAGACGATTAAGATAAAATGAATGAGGCCAAAGATGTCATTTAAGATAGGACAAATAAAATTTTCTGTTAATTCCAGTTATCTGATGCATATTTTAGAGCGAATATTTTTAAAGATATAATAAATTTTTTATTCCTTAAATGAATCACCGTGAAACTCTCTACCACTTATTTCAAATAATAAACGTGCTTCATTTTTATTCGTTAAGGCACGTTGCCGGTTCAATTTATTTTGCACTTCAGTATCTATTATTTCCTCGCATTTTTCTCCAATTGACCATATTTCAACTTTTTTCATCTTAAACGTCATTTCACCGGCCAACCAACATTTTTCAAATGTACTTATTCCAGAAGAGGAACTACCATTGCTGAAATCTTCATGTAGAAAGAAGGACCAGTTCTCGTCTTGACCACCCATACCCTAAAAAATTTGTTTTCTCTATCCATCGAAAATTTTATTGAAATTTAACTCAGCAAGACTAGGACAAGATTTTTAAATTGTGATATAGTGGGCTGCTAATCAAAACAATAACAAGCTAAAGTTGCCGAGATAAATTATATTAAGCATTTGTTACTATAAAGCATCAGTAGAAATTAGAAAGATTGCTTCCTCAACTACTTTTATCGAAATGCTAATCATTGTTGATGTATGATTATTACCGTACTATTACTGTTAATAATCAAATTGGTGCAAGACAATCAATCTGTATTCTTGGAAATTTCAAAAAAAAAAACGTACGATTCCATTTGGCAATGAAACCTGGCCACAATTGAGATAGCCGAAATTTTTGTTGTAACCTGTGGCACTATAAATGTGTAACTTTCGTCGATCTTCAAACAAGAAGCATCGATTATCACCGGTATGTCGCGGACCACAAACAAAGCCCTGACTAGCGAATGCACCAAAGACACGGTCGGATGTAGTTTCTATGATAATTAAACATGGACCTGCACGATTGACACTTTTCACCAGTTTCATGAAACTTTCACCATGTTTTTCACTGAAATTTGAAATACAATGTAGTCATATGTGCATGACCTATCTCTTCTAAGAATTTCCGTCACGGCTTTACGTTTCGATTTTAGAAGTGAGCGAAAATTTTGGTTCAACTTCAAAATATAAATTAGATTTGATTTCTCATTAAAAATGGATATAAGATTCCACAGTCTCGACTGAACTGTATGATGCGATATATTACTTGGTTTCACAGGAAACTTGCTATCCTCTACTGAGTTATACTAGATCTGATATTCTTTCTAAAGAAAGCATGTCGGGAATACTAGTAACCGGTAAATTCCAGATATGTTATGATACAACTTCTGGATACTTTAGGTGTAAATCACGAACTAAAAATATGAAACAATATAAGATTGTTTATCTTAAAATATGATGCAAAATCAGTGATTAATCAGATCCTTAAAATTTCATCTCTACAATTGACAGAATGTTGGATGTTTGCATTTTTTTCTTTTTAAATCTAATATTAAATTTGTAGCACCGAACCTTGAAAATAATAGCTTCCATCGATCTCTTAATTCTTCCGGTAAATTCGCATACACAAGGCATAGTGCAGCAGGAGTAAGTAAGGAGTTTTTGCTAACCTGTTGCAAAAGTTTCACATCGTTTTTCCGTCCGATAAATATCAACTCACTGATATGTTTGATTATAGTTGGTAAGATAATTTGGTTTTGCAAAAAGTTACTTAAAGTGAATGGATCCAATTGTAAAGGAATATTTTCCATGAGAAAATCAACGAGAAGTGTGACACTTCCTGGATCCAATTGTTCACATTTGAAAAATGACAAAATCATCACCTCTATAATCTGGAATACGGAAGATATTTTATTACTAACCCAATTAATTGATTAATTCTAATAAAAATTTGAATATAAAAATGTTGATATTTATTGAAGTTAGAACCTGCTTAATCGGTTGATTAAGATGTAAAAGAGCTTTTGCTTGCTGATTGAAATCACCCAGTATCATTTCGGCAAATTCTACAAAACGTTCCATCCTAATCTAAAATCTTTTGTTATATTATAGATAACAAATTATCCAATTAACTCATCAATCAATTAATATATCAATACATCACTTAGGTAAATTACTGACTGACATTATTGATTATGTATCCTGATAGGATATTGATCAGCTTATGTGCCTGTATTTAGATCTGGAAACTTACAACATTCTCGGGTTTACTTAGTGAATCATATATGAACGATTGTAACTGAGGGCAAATTGTTGATTCAGTATATTTCTGAAAAATTAGGAATTTAAGGAAGTTAATTTTGCATAGGTATATACTGATTTTAAATTTTACAATGGGAAAAAAAAAAACTCACAAAAAGAGCTTACAAAAAAAGTAGATTTGCCGATGATTGCTCTCTCGTCAGCTATTTCGTAGAATCGATTTCTTAACAGTAATTGAAAATCGTTTATATCATTTTTTTTGCTTCGAAAGGGATTTTTTGATTTGCTTTCAGTTTTACCCATTGACTAAAGAGCTATATATATATATAAATAACATCAAATTTAAGCGCAAAATTTAGATGAGTGCAATAATTAATAAAAATGAATTTCAAAAATTGGACTGAAAAAAAAAACAGAAATTAATTATTTCAAAAATTAAAATCAAAATTAAAACTAAACTTTACACTGTGTATAGCACAAGTAAAAATTATCAATTATTACTTCATTTTACTGCTAATTAGCAAAATTATGGAAAAAAATAATAATAAAATTGATGCGAACATGATGAATAAAAATAAAGTAAAAAGAATAGTGGAAAAATAATTGGTTGCTGAATGTAGCATAAGAAGCAATTTCAAATAAGCCACTCAGATGTCTGCACTAATAATGAATTTATTCATCAAAAACAAATTTCAAAAATCAAGTTGGACTAAAATTTTCCCATGAACCAAATCGAAAGTAAAATGAAACAATCGCTTGTCACAAAACCATCCCCTCCATTAAGCAACGTACATTTGCTGAGATAATGTTCACTTTAGATGACCATGACGTTTTTGTGTTTCTCTGTATGGATTGCACTCAATACTTTTGTCACGTGAGTGAAATTTTTTGTGCATACTTCCATATGTCTATATATCGAAGAGGGAAAGTAAGATGGAAATGCATAATTCAATTCAATTTCAAAAAGAAAAGAAAAAAAGTTACACAAAGAAAACGCTGTAAATTAATTTATATGATTCGGGAGTAAATTCAACGATTAAAATTACGAATTATCTATTTCTTATCGGTTAAACAACAGATGGATTAAGTAAGGCGTCTTGTAAAATTCCATGGCAGAATTTGAGAAGCAATTTAAAATCAGCTAATAGTGGAAAGTGTTTCTCTTATTACAAATATACCACTTTTTTTTTGTAGTTCTGAAATTTGGCATTTTTGGTATGTTTCATACAAATAATTCGAATTTTAAAATGACAAAAAAAGTGATCATTTGTTGTTCTGAGAATCATTTGTATATTCTCAGTCCATTTCCAGCAATTATATTCGTGATAGGAATTTCATTTCAATTTTAATGTTGTTCGAGTAAATGATTACGTAGAGAGAAAAGAGAGAGAAATGGGATGGTCTGTTACTTGTAATAAAAAGAGAATTATGAAATATTAGTTGCTGTTTACTATGGTGGTAATAAATTTTAAAAAGCATTAATAACAATGACTTTTGATCAATGATATGAAACAAAAAGAAGAAATAGACTAGGAAGGATGTGTTTGATGGCAGAAATCAATAATAATATTTGGTCAATAATATCAATAATTGTCGGAAACCCGAAACTAAAATTAAATTATTTATATTTTAGCTAATCATGTTAATCATTTATTTCTTATAATTATAGATCAAATTCTTTAATGATTCATAATTTTTCAACAGCGTTTGGAACAAACATTCTAAACCAAAACCTAAATAACAAATCCAAGCCGAATCTATCAGATCGTAATCAAACACAGCGATCAACTCTCCTCTTCAAGAAACCCAATTCTGTAACACAAATCAACCCAAGTTTAAATCCCAATAACCAAGAAACCTTCACCAACTGATTTCCATTGTGTCACATAGCCACAAAGCTCTCCCAATTCAAATCAAACCAATAACTCTCCTCGAAGCACGCTAACGTCCACAACAATAATAATATCAATGATAATATTATATAATCAAATAATAATATTATAACAAGAAATCAATAATAATATTATAACTCGTTAAGTTTGATCATTATTTGTTACATTAGTTTAGTAAAAAATAAGAAAAAAAATAAATTAGAAAGGAAGAATGTTTTTGTATTAATAACAATAATTTAAAAAAAATTATTTCCGTGCAATAGCTATCAGTTTTACATTGTAATAGTCATATAGTTTACGTGAAAATACTTAGCGATACCGTGCAAACCTCGAAAACGTGTAGAAACAATAATCAGAAAAATAAATGAAACGCTGTTGCACTAAAAGGGTAAATGAACAATAGCGTATGATTGATCAAAGCAACAAATAAACGACTAATTTGTAAGGAAGAATGTACCAAGGAGAAATGGAATACTTACCTTACTTACCTTTTTATATGATTTATGAAAACGAAAAATACCAATAAAATAAAAAATCAATTTAAGGATTGAATTTAAATATGAAATGATATGAGTTCGTATTTCTCGAACCTACACTTTCACTGCTATCAAATCAGCGCTCTCTTACAGATTAATCCAACATTCAAATCAATTATCTGAATGTAAAGATAATGTAGGTGTACAGGTAGGCAAACGTTTATAAAGATATGAAATATCACTTCTATATTAAACAAATAATAGTCCAAAATAAGGACAGATAAAGCAAACTGTTGACAAAGCACAGAATCAGTGCTATGAAAAAATGAGCCGGAGTTTCTGTTAAAAATTCTAAAATATTAAAAAAAAAACTTAAGAATCTGAACAAATAAAATTAGAGTGTTTGCGGAAGATGAAAGAATTATTTTAGCACATGAACAAGAAACAATTAACTTCAGTTTATAAAATTTTGGGTTGAAATTTCTAAATCTGTAAACGAAGCATGGCTAGCATCAATATTTTTTAAAAACAGCAAATATTTTAGAATTTGTAGTATGTAAACAATTCAACTTTAGAAAATCTATAACTGCAAATATTTCAGATGTTGAATTTCCATGATAATGATCATTTTTTTTATAAAATGAGAGTCTTAAAAGTGTGAAGAAGGAATAGAGAAAAGCCAATAAGAATGTGAAAAATTATGATGTTAAAAATTTTCCGGTCAATCTCGATCTTCACTTATTTCGGAAAGCACCAGGTGAGCTAATAATGCTCCTTACCCGACTGTATACCTGCAAAAAACAAAAAATATAAATTTATTAAATAAACACTGAAATATTATACACCGGAACATATCAGCTAGTTATACATTACAGATACTACTATATGTAACTATATCTGAAATAAGTTTATCACTCGAAACGCCAACAATGTATTTATCAACGCTTGCTTAGCATTGCGAAATTGAATAATTAAATTGAACTTCAATAATTTCATGTACCAAACTGCCACTGCAACTTGTTATTCTTTAAATGTTTGGTACTGATATAAAAATAATGATGGCTTGTTTCCCTTAAAAAATTACTAGTTTGAAACAACGAAATTGTTGAACAATTTATCATTTAGTCAAACTGTTCAAACCGAGCTTTTTGATAACTCTCACATTTCTGCCATTTTTTAGTAATTTCAAGTTACATGTTGCTGTCCGCAATGACAAATGTGAAACTTTATTCTAAATTGATATTGTGGTTAATGACAAATGCTCTAACCATATGTAAGTTATGGTTCCGGTTCAACTCCAGCTTGTGTCATTAGATCGGTTATGTTCTTTTCCAGTTCATCGATACGTCTTGTCATATCGTCTATCCGTCCAATAATTTGATCAGACATGCGTTGAAAACGATCCTGCGTTTGTTGCAATACTCCTTGTATCTGAAATATATGCTTTCCTCTTCTCTATCTAAAATTTGTAGATCTTATATCAGAAATCCTTCCATGGAATTCTCAGAAAAGAATCCTGACTGTTTTGAGCATTATTAATCATATACAGTTTCTGTGCTTAGCTTATCATTTCAATAAATAGTTTCTCTTCTACAAGCCTGCTCATCATGACAGATAAAAAAAAAAGCTTCAATAACATATGATACAGCAAAACAGAAAAAAACAAGGTCACAATAATTATTCATATTCCTGACAGTTCCTAAATGTAGTTGAAAAAAAAAACTAACCAGCGAAGTTAACTCTTGCAAACTTTGATCGCCAGATCTTGCTTCCGGTAAAGCTATAGAATCATTTTCGTCAGCCTTTTTTGTCACCTCGTCACCACTTTTTTCCGTATTTGGTTGTTGACTCTCCATTCTGCAACTTTTTTTTTCCTTAATGCTGAAACTCAACGATTCGGGCGAACCTATCAATTCATGCATCCAAATCATATAGATTTCGCTTCTTTTGAATAACAAAAAAAACCACTTACCAAAAAAAAATAAGCTGAAGTAATGCAGAACTTATGGAGATAAGAACTGACACTGAACACTTCAAATATCTTTCATCAAATTAACAGTCGAGAAACCTTTATAATGACACTGGGTAATTCGGAAAATATCCAAATTGAAATGTTGTTGAATGACAAATACAACTTGAAGAATCATATCCATAAGACATTATAAGGAGCAACAAAAACTATTTGCAATCAATAAAAATTGAAAAAATAAAAAAAATGACGGTTTTGAGCCATGACTAATTAAATTAGAACAACGAACTTTGAGTGTAGTGCTTAGAACAAATATAATATTAAGAATATTTCGATATGTGCAAATTCTAACCGACCATCTTGCTTATTAAAATCAAGAAAGTTGATTTAACAAACTTCAATGACAAAAAGCATCCGGAACAAATACACTGAAATAAATATCAATTAAATTTATTTAATAAACGGCAAAATATAGACATTATGACATTCGATCATTATTATCATCATCAGCAGTTGCTGGAAAACCGTATAAACGACTAATTTGGCTGTCTACAAAAGCTGGAATATCGGGTTCTGAAATAAACTCTGAATCCTTTATTATCCGATGAACAGCTATAACTTCTACGATATTAATGCCTTTGATCCAAATTCGTCCATTAATACCACTTGTTATTTCGAATTTTATATCTTTACCAATCAAGGTCAATAGTCTTGAAGTTGGTGAAAGGATTCGACGAACAAGATTTAGACTTGTCTTAAATAGAAATCCACCAGATGGTAGTGGACCCATACCACGTGCTCGACCTTCACTATCAACACATGTTAGCTGAAAATTATTGAGTTTTTAATACGAACTTGATATTTTCTGTCCGCACAGTATTTATTACTTCCCTTTCACCAGTTTTATTTTTGTGAATTTTTAACTATCCCTTAGACTTTGTCATATTCAATACTGTAAACATGCACTGATCAAAGAGATAAGTTGCAGAGCTCGGCAATAGAATGTACCTCTGGTTCAAGATGCTTTGTTGCAGTGATGACAGATGCATAAATTAAATCACCAACTTTCAAGTTCGGACGATTACGTCTTGTAGCACCTCAAAAACAAAAAATGAAATAAAATTTACATAATACATGATCGAAAAAAACGAAAAAACAGACCAATGAGATTCGAAGAGCCAAAGTTTGAAGACTTTTAGAAATGGTCCCCATTAATATCCCCGAGAGAATAACAGGTCAGTCACAATGTTTCGGTGTTTATAATTTTCTAATCTGATGAAAGTTTAACCAAGAATTAATTTTAGCTCATTCGGTCCATCTTCATTTATGAATTTTTTTTGAAATTTAATCCCATAAATACTCGAAAAGTATAATCATTATTACTTTGTTAAATGAGTGAAAACAGCCGAGTACAATAAAATACAATTCAAATATACTAAAACTAAACCTTCAAAAGAAAGGAAACTAATAAAAGCAATATCCGCAGAGCCGATATCAATTTTAAACGTTTCACCATGTGCAGAAGTAACAATTCCAATTACACGATCACCTTTTTGTGGGACATATCTGAAAACAATTCATTATTCAAATAATTTTTTGCTTTCATCCACTTTTCAAACTCAATCAAATCTCTGCTCCAAATTAATTCCGAAATTACATCTTAAAGAAAAATGAAACTCGTCTATTATTTAATTTAAGAGTTCAAATCTGATGAAACAAACCTTCGTGAATGAACTGCCATCCATTGTTTACCGTGCGATATACGCCGTACTCCTGGTTGTACGACTCTCAACTGATCAGAATCATTGATTACTCGTTTTAGACCACAACCAATTACCTAGAATGCACTTATTTTTGCTACTAAGAGCCAATTAAGACATACAGGTAGTATGTCCAATTAAAACATCAAATAAGTTATTATACAACAAATGATTGAATGAAAACATAAATTAATATATGAAATGTTAAAAACTTTTGGAAAAACCAACTTCTGTCCGTTTTTCACCAGGAATCGTCAAGGAAACAATATCGCCTGGAAGATAAATCTCGGCCATTTATTCAGTTTTACAAGCTCATAATCCCGGATAATATATGACTGGAAATGACTAACAGTTTCTCTGAACGGAATATTGTATGCCTAAGTATTAATCAAAATGAACGTATAGAGAGAAAAAAGATTACATGATCAATCATGCAAGTTATCATAAAATAATTTTGATGATTGTTTATAGACGGATCAGACAAATAAAATCGTGTAGATTCAGTCGATAATTTTTTATTACATTGGAGAAAAAATTTGACACAAAGGATATTCAAATTGATAAAAAAACAACGAAATTTTTGGTCAAAGTCAGAAGTTTCAAAATATAACATTCATTCAGCATTTATAATATACAACAATATCATTTCAAACAAAATTTGTAAGAATCTAGCAGCAATTCTTCAATTTTCTGACGAAACTTATTGCTAAATTGAAATCTTGCAGTGCTGCTAGTGATCAAGTCTGCTTTAAGTACACGAATTACTTCTTCTGGATTCGCTTCAAGCAAGCTGCAATCAGCTAATAAAACTGTTGTAAAAGGCATCTGAAAAAAAAACAAAATTTGATTTAAGATTAATCTTACAAAATAATTGCTATATGCTTTTCATCTACTTTTCCTGGCTAGATTCCTCCGAAGTACAATTTTTTCAATTAAGTCGAATATTTAAGTACATAAATTTACTCCAGTGTTCAATTTTCTTCAGCTGAAATTTATGAGTAGAATAAAAATATTATAAAATCCCAGATACTAACTATATACAGCCGAAGAATTAGCAACAAACTATTATTTATTTATAGCACTAGCTTATTACCATCAGTAAAACAAATTTGCGGCATTTAAATATGTTGTGTGTAAACGTTTAAGATATTTACAAATATCCGTAATTTTTGACAAATAATTATTTTAGAAAAAAGAAAATCGAAGATACCTTATCAGCTTTAATCTTCAGACAAATTTCAACGGCAGAAGAAATAGCTGTTGTTGCAGATAAATCAAGAAGAAGAATATTTGGACAATATGTCAGTGACCATTTCGTTATATAATCAGGATTATGTAAGCTATTGAGGGATAATTTCAAGATTTCTAATTTTCTCTCTGCTTCTGGCTAAAATTTTAAAAAAATCAATAAAATTTTACGTAGTTATTCGATATCTTGCCTTTTTAAATAAACAACTCATTCAACTTATGACTTCGATTGATTCTTTAAAATGTAGTGACATAAATGACCAGAAAAACATCACAGAATTAAATTATTGGATTCTACAAGTATATTCTGTCCAAAATAGCTATGTTAGGAGATATGTGCAATAAATAATCGAATATTTTTGATAATAAAACTGAAATCGCAACTACCCTCTATTAATAAGGAACAATAAATTTACAAAATTTAGTGCCCAATTTGACAATTTAATCAATGATATTTATTAGAATGTGGAACATTTTTGTTTTACCTCTTGCTGGCGAATAAATTTTATCTCCAACGATGAAATAGTCAGGAAGGAAGTAATTAATCAAAAATGCTAGGGTCCACAAATTACAGAGATAAAATTAAGGTATCAATAATAATTTTTGTTCGATTACTAAATGGAATGAATAAATTTGAAATTTTACAAAGCTACAATGACGTACTAGATTAAAGTTGAATCATATGAATATTAATAACTGAAAATTGATGGAAGGAATCTAAAAGCATGCAGTTCATCGACTAAATACGAGAATAAAAAAATAAAAACAAAAAAAAAAAATAAAAATCTTTACCATATTATCCATTTTGGATAGAGCTGTACATGACAAGTCTAAATATTTTAAGTTCTTACAAGTTTGAATTATTTCTAAAGCGTGATCTGAATTAATTTCTGAATTGAAACTTAGATCCAGCACTTCCAATGAAATTATTTCTGAAAAAAAAGGAATGATAGAATAGCTTACCAGTTAACCCCAAAATAGAATAAATTCTATTGACCAAAAAAAGTAAAACTGTACTCATTATTTTATTTTTTCTTTTTATCTTTTCTAAATAATCTGACTTTTTCATAATATAAACATTTAAATATGAAGGTACAAAAAAGTGCAAATTCAAAGATAGATAAAATGAAATCATTAAATGAAAGTAAATATAGATTATAAAACTATACAAAATATAATACACACTTATTTACATTTTTTTATAAACGGCAAAATCTCTAATCTTCTGAAAATTTAGAGCTTACTTTTAATCTGTCGTACCAAGGAATCTGTAACGTTTCGTCCTATATTACATGAAGCAAGTTTAAGATCTATAAGATTCGGACACAAGCTAACAAAAGCAACCAGATAATCGGAACCATTATCGCCCAGATTATTGTAACTCAAATCTAACTTGATCAGTGCATCACAAACCGAATAATCACCAATCAGCTGCCGAAGATATCTACTGAAATATTTACCATTTTCATAAAATATAAGTGAAGAATGAATCTCTTCCAGTTACAACCAGATTGGTCCGTCCAGATTTTTTGGGATGAATAAAAAATCTATTTAGCTCACAGTGAAATCGAATGATAAACTATCTTAACATATTCAGAAACCTAAAAATAAAAAGACACTCTATTGGTCGGTGTAATAATAAAAAAAAACCTTCCCAAGAACTTGAACGCATATTACAGCGCACTCATAACCCTTAACTCTAAGAGGATCGATCGATAATTTGGTCATAAGTCAAACTTATCAAAAAGAAATCTCCGTATGACAAAACATACCTTTTCAATGCGCAGCAAGACAAGCTCAGTAAAGTAAGATGTCGAAGGATTTTTGAAATTAAATCAATAAATAAAGTTGACAGTGAATTGCCATCTAGATAAAGTTCCAGTAGATTTGATTGCAAAACTTCAATAGCGGCGCAAACAGCATCATCTTGGCCAATATTTATTTCACGCAAATCTAATGAGCCATTCGTACTTTCCGCAAGCGTATGTAACACATTCGCCATTAATCCTATAAAGTGATACAACACTATACTCAGCAAAAAATATGATGCTATATGTTCAAAATACTGAATCCAGCAACATAGATTAAACAAAATGCTGTGTACAACAAAAATAAACAATAGTTTCGCAATCTTTTTCACAGTAATTTTCTTTTATTCTAAATCGAATTGACTGGAATGTTACTTTAGTGATTACAGCTTGACTAGCTTTTAAATAATACTCTAAAAATAAAGTTACTTCTAGTTCGTTTTGCATAAATTTGAGCAGCGGACGGTTTTGTGCAACCGCTTATGATACATTTCAAATTTTTCGCATCTGCTAGCACCAACTCAATTGGTGTATCATCCGATAGTTCGCAATCATCGTGGCATATTGTCATCGATGAATACTCCATATCACCTTTTAGTTCCTCTTTACAACGTTTTCGGATATCGCCTATGAGACACGAACTGAAATCGTAATAATCAAAAATGATAAAGTTCCACTAACACAGAAAAATTTTACCCTTCCAGCAAGAGAAGACAGAAAAGGTTTCCTAGGAACAAGCAACTTTTTTCCACAAAAGCATAAATTTGTATTTGATAATATTTAATGCAATAATAAATCTAAAAAATTCGACAATAAAATGATTTCATATTAAAAATGATAATAAACCTTGCAAAAGGCATTCCTTTAGTTTTCAGATGTGTACCATCGCTCTTCATCATGATAATTTTGATAAAAATTTGATTTTTAACACCTGATGGTGCACAAGATGATGATGATGACCCTTTGTTGCATTCCTGCCGACCACTTACAATCGCTGAGTTTTTAACATTGGAATGTTTGAAAGATTGTAATTCGGTACTTGAAGTGCTTCCACTTTGTAAGGTCACTATATCGTTATCTAAATCTTTTCTGATATCTCTGAAAGTAAACTTTAGTATGCTTCAAATACAGCTTAACGGAAAGCAAGTCAATTGGTGTATAAAATAAAATTAACTGATAGCAAAGCCTTAATAGAATGATTCTAACGAAACTATGCTATATACTCCATATTCTAAATTTCATGGAGAAATCTTCAGATATAAAGTACCAACTTCTTTACATTCAGCTGACTTCTTTTCCTTCGCCTGGATTCCGGACTAGATTCAGGTAATAGAATAGAATCAGAATTACATGGCAATTCATCACAGAAATCAGTCGAAAAATTGCGCTTTATTTGAGCGGTCTTTTCCGCTGAAACCAACTCCCGTTTTGAAGTAGTAACACAAATGTAGCTAAAATTTAGGCTTTGAAATCAAAAACTGCTATATCTTCTCCATAATTACTAAAAATTTTCATGTTCATGAATATACAAAGCCAACTCTTAATCTCAAACCTCTCAAATACAGTTTTTAAAACTTTGAAATTATACAAAAGAATTGAAAAAAAAAATTGAAAAACACACCATTTTCAGTTCGCTTCTTGTTTAATGGTAAAGATAAAGAACTGTTAAAAAAGGACGATGAAGTTTGATGAGTAGAAGGAAATCCAGTGAAATCATCAGTATCGACAAGTGCATCATCCAATGGAGACAAATGTCTTACATGCCACATTTCATCCTCTTCATCCTAAAATGTGTCATCTCGAATGACACTTGAAATTTGTAAAAAAAAAAACGAAATGAATTATATTCATTTATTTGATATAGCACTAATTTCATGAGAAATGATGAAACAGTTCCCTTTAAATTTCATTGCAAGACTTCATGATTAAAAGGATAAATATACTTTAAATGCGATTATGGATGTTTCAAAACATTCCAAGTCGACCAAATATGCGTCACATATTGGTTAGGTAAAGAATAGGATAAACTAATATCAGTATATATTGAAAACTAACACATAAAATCAAGCTATACTGATTCCGAAAAGCATGTATTAAGATATTCTAAACATAAATCATGCATTATAGTAATATATTTCAAAAAAGAACAGTGCATAGGAACCTCATCAAACGAAGCATCATTGGTATCTAATCCATCCAGTAGAACACTTATTCTATTATGCGTTGTTCCACGTCCCACAACATTCATCGTTTTCCGATATTCATGTAAATTTGATACATTTGGATCAACGACTTTTCCTGATCCATCATTCGAATGTGTCTTTAATTTTGTTTTATCATTTAATCTGAGCTTCTTCGGTGGTGGTTCTGCATTTACCGTTATGTTCACTGAAAAAATTATAAACTTTAAACCTAGCACCATTCAAAATATGTGAAAATAAAAAGTTTACAAAATTAAAAATGAATTCAAGAAAATGTTTGGGAAAATTTTTAGTAAATGATATAGAAAACAATTTGAAGAGATGGCCATGGGACATACAAAAATTAGTTTAAATATTTATAGACCAATGAATAGACTTCCGATTATTTTGCAAATGTTATGATGTCATGCAGTTTATTTCAGAATTTGAAATTATGTGACAAATCTAGAGAACTTTAGTGTTAAATATCTACCTTTAGTAAATCCAAGAAAATCCATAAAATAACAGTTAACTAACAGAAATACATGAATATCAAAAAAAAAATTACACAAACCTTCCTTTAGCTTCATTTCCATGACTGATACAAGACTTTTGGCTTCCTCCATAACATCATCTTCAACCATCCCCATTTTAATTGCATTTCGAAAAAAATCAAGCGCAGTCCAATCATCACGATTTCTGATAGTAACGTCCGCCCCAAACTTTAATAATAAATCAACGATTGCTGTAGCACCTCGATCACATGCCTCCATTAATGGAGTTAGACCACCACTATCCTGGAAATTATTTGCAATATTTCGAAATCAAAAATACTGACTTCGAATTATTTCATTTTCCAAAAATATAAACTTTAAAACTTAAAATGAATCAAATATGAAAATAGAAAAAATTTTGAATGTAAAAATAAGTAACAATCTCAAAAGTCCTTAAATTAGATATTACATAGTAATCAGAATTTCACTTACATCTCTAAATTAATAATTCCTATCATAAAAACGAACCACCAAAGGAATTAGAATAGATAAAAAATGAATCATACCGTTTGTTCGCCATCAGCTGATAAAGTTCCTTCATTTGACCGCAAATTAAGATTTGCACCAACTCGAGCCAAAATTCGAACATTTTCCAATTTTAACGCTCCAACTGCTTCATGCAACGGTGTCCAACCACCTTCATCGCAAGCATTTATATTGTATCCCTGAAAAATTTTAACTCATGCATAACAAATTATAATAGAATTTAAAAAAAATAAAATGAATGATACGAAAACTTAAATCTTCAGGAGCACAGTAGCTAAAAGAATGTATTCAGTTAATCACAACAGATAAAAGAATTTTGGGAACAGTTTCAAGACAGCATCACTGTTTGGAAACTGACCACAGAAAATGGATAAAGCAATCAGATACCCACAATGAAGAGACTATATCAGGGAAGCCACTGCACTTAATTAAAGCAATTTGCTCAAAACTGTTAAATTCGCTTATCGATGAATTAGCAAAAAAGCATAAAAAAAAGAAGGAAAAAATTATAATAACCATTTCGATCAGCATTTTCAAATACTGGGTATCACTACCACGAGCAGCTTCATGCATTCGTGTTTCACCATATAAATTGATTTTCTTATCCTTCTCAGATCGCATACGTTCTTCCATACTATGACGATTCGCATCTTCTAAAATTTGAAAATATTAAAGATTTTAAATAAACTCATCAAACATAATTTGGTCTGTTTCGAGTAACACAGTTATTAGTTCCAGCATATATGCTCTATTAAACATCTAACAGTCAGCAACCGTAAAGTTTGCAAGCTTGCAGAAACTGTCAAAACTGAAAAATACAAATAACTGATTTTAGCTTACTCCATTACTGCAGCCAAGACTAACGACATTTTTGAATATTACAACCGAAGTAATAATTACACAGTGTATTAATACACATTATGTAAAATACAACCCGTAACATGATTGTTTGTTTGAAGCGTTCATATCCATTAATTTTTTGTTTGGAAAAACTGCATAGAGTCGAAAATGATATCTATATGTTTGAATAATATATAATATATAGATAAAATTACACTAACCGTGACAACGAGCCAAAATTTGTGTATCACTTAAGTCATCCCATTTATCAACGAAATTTTCGTCTTTTCCCTCATCACTTTCCGATTTTCCGTCACCGTCTTCCGCATCATTATTGAGACTGTCAAGTTTTGCTTCAATTTCTACACGTAAATCCTTGCCGACATTTTTGTCGTTCACATATGCCAACATGTTTTCATACAAAGTTTTCTAAAAAATCAATTTAACACTTCATAATCAGCTTAATTTAAATTTCAGCTGTTTTTCGCATGGAAATTTTTATAACAGCATGCTAATTACTCGAATTATAACTCATACAAACAAATAGATGACACTTAATTTTTATTAAATTTAAATAAAATTACAGCACAAAATGATATAGTTGACTGAATTTCTAAAACATGTCTATTAGATAATGAATGAAAATAATTACTTTCTGACGGTTGCAGATTACAAGGCATTCGGATTTCCGAAAGAATTCTAGAACTTCCTTCGATGTAAAAGAATCAATATTGGCAGCAGTATTAGCAATACAAAGATTTGTATCCGCTTTCTAAACATTATACGATTCTGATTATCCTCGAAGATCCGATAAAAATTTGAATTTCTCGCTAGCTGCTATCAAAAGTGTTGTCTGTTTAATTCCTTGTACACTCATAATTTTTTGATAAAATTTACATCTCATAAGGATATACTAACTTAAGAAATAGCTTCCATTAGCTTTTTATATATGAACTGCAAAAGTAAACGAATGTAAGATGTTTATTTTAGTAGGGAATTTTGTCATATTGCTTTTATTTTATTGGGGAATTTTATCACAATGGGATTTCCAACATTAATTCAAATATCATAAATTCTAATAAACCTTAAAAAATTAGGATCCATACCTTAGCGTCGCATACATTTAAAGTGTTTTCAAGATTTTCCACTTCAGTAAAGCAATTAAATGCCTCTTCGTAACGATCTAACTCTTTGGCTGTTTCTGCTATAGAAACCAAAGCTTTAATTTTGTCTTCCGTTTGACAAGCATAAGTTAACATCTGTTTGTAATACTCGAGCGATATTTCACAAAATCCTGCCTGCAAATAGGAGTATTTACAAAATCCAAATTACTTTCTTTTTTTAACTTAGAAATTTCATAAACATATAGTTTCAGCAATAGAAAAAGGTAAAAGCGCCAAAAATAGGGTATACCTCATACAAATTATCCGCAACTTTCTCATTAATCTTCATTTTAAGCTGATCATCGGCATTTTCCAGCATTCTCAATCGTTCAATCGTTTTGTAGACTAAAAGACAGTCTTAGAAAACCAGGAAACTAACTCAGAAATTGAGCAAATAAAGACGGGAAAGTGTGTAAAGCAAAACAGATGAAAATTTGGCTCGAATGTTTGCTAAACTATTTGAAAACTCGTTGAATCATATATAGCAATACAATTATAATTTCCTTCTTACTGAATCAAGACAGCATTTTTAAAATATTTCGCACTCCCAATGAACTAAGTTTAAAGTTTCATGGTCTAAAGAAAACACAAGAGAAATTTCTCGCTGACTGCCAACATACAATTTATAAAATCTGAGCGATGGCATTACTGAACTTTAGTCCAGATATGTTCAGTCTCGTTTATCTCAGAAATAACTCACAGATGAGCCGAAATGAAACTATAGGTCTAAAACATCTGATAGGCTAAATGATAGAAAGTACTACTAACAGTCTGTGATTTTCACATAATGATGGCCAATGTATAAATGAATGATAAAAATTCTGAAAAGCACATCGAAGACTAGTGAAGAAAATAACTAATAAATTCCATTACAAAATCATTCTTAATGGAATTTATCAGTTAAAATCATTAAGTTTCAATTTTTTACTGATGAAGTGAAAAATCACCTGTTATCAATACTTGATAGAAAGATCTTTGCTCTTCAACATCCAATTTTTCATGTCCTTTGGAAGCTAACATTGAAATAAGATCCCACTTCGCACCAACCAAATCCTTTGCTCTAATTTTCTCCTTCGAAATAAATAACATTAACACATCAAAAGGATATGCATTTTGAAATGATGAAACTGAAAAAGAAATTGAATTTTTATATGAAATGGAATGATTTATACCTGAGCTAATATGAATTTCGCTTCACATGATGTTTGCTGATCTAAATTAGCAGCTACATGAACCAGCTCAATAGCTGTTTTCAAACGATGATTACCAGAAAAATTCATTTTTGAAAGTAAACAGCGATACTGCAAGTCGTGATCACCTGCGCGCCTGTAAAAGATTTTGTTTTTCTTACTTTGCACGCAATATTCAATACGATTGAAAATCTAATCGTGCTCGATACTGGTATAGAATGAAATTTTAATATTTATCAATAAAGGAATTATTTAAGTAATAGAAATCAAGAAATAAAAAATAATCAACTGAATTAGTTGGAAAGTCAAGAATCTCCAGCACATATCTTAGTATATCTTAGATTTGCCCAAAACCATATCTTAAAACCATATCTTAGATTTGCCTAAAAACAGAGATGATGGCCAACTGTCATGGACTCCAGCAATTCCAATTCAGCACTTTAATATTACTACATAAGAATCATCTCAGATGTATAACTCTTTGTAAATCAAAATCTCCAAATAAGCAAGAATTCAACATAACATACGCCGCATAGGCCATTGCTGCATTGTGATAACGTACTGACAAACTCTGCAATTTCATTTTATCACATATTTGCGAAAGCACTTGCTGCAATCGAGCCTTCCTTGACCTCGAATCTTGCCCCATCTGTACAGCACTAAAGAAAGCAATTTTCAATTTATTCGCACAATAAAATATGAAAAAATTAGCTTAGAAGTGAGAAATATCCATGAATCAATAAACTGTTATAAAGTCCTTATTAGTAGTGGATGTTATACATAATTCACCCAAATTATGCATAATAACTAGTATCAAACAGAATCGATCTCAATGTGATAGTGATTAGGATTAGCAAATATCTACGATAATACCAAAGCAAGTCGAATTATCGTCCAAGTTTCGCTTTGAATAATAGAAAAGAATGCCTTATTTTATTAACAAAGGCTTGTCAACCTATCGAATATGCTAGTCAGTCATATGATGTAATTAATCTATGATTATATTTCATATGAAATCGACGAATGGTTATGTTCGACGAAAATTGCGCATTGTCAAGATGACAATCTAATCCTGAGTGATTCTGTTGAATTTATTAATAATAGTGTAACTTAATTTGGTTAAGAAAGACCAAAATCTTTACTCTTTATCGCAATCAATATCTAGGGCATGCTTCGATAAATAAACAAGGCTTCTTTCACACCATTGTTTAGCCTGAAAGCATGCTGATTATCATTAGGTTATATTTAGATTTCTGATATAATTTGAGCAGAATTTTGAAATTTAAATAAAAATTTACTTTTTTTATAGCATTTCAATACTTCTCAAATACATCTGAGGATAAAGCAAAACACATTACTTTTTCTAGTAACATTTCCTGCTTTGCATTTGAATTCAAATAGATTTGTAGGTGAAGCCAGCCAATCACATGATATGAAAGTTGGATAAAGTGGACTTTTCCAGATTTGTTTGCTGCTTCCAAATATTTCTCTCCATGCTCTAATGCCTTAGTATTTTCCTGGATACCTGAACCATATAAAATTTCGTGTAAGACAGGTGACAGACAAACATATATTTTCAATTCTCCAAACTAGCACAATAACCCACAGTTAAATTGTAATTTCTAACTTTTTTGTGATCTTAATAACCAGTTTTTTATTAAGTTAAGTTGCACATAAAACAATAATAGCAATATAATGTAAATAGTCAAAAATAAAAAATTTAAGTACGCATCCAGTATACGGCAGTCAAATCATCAGAAAATCAAACTGAGCGTATTGAGCGTAATTCTGCATAAGCAGATAAATAGCTCAACAGACAGACAACAGGTCAACTAACGGCATTTTAGTTATTAATATAAGCAAAATTACGTTCAATTATTGGCATGAAATTTTGAAAAAATATACCTGGATCAACGAGAATTTCCGCAATGGCCCGATGAGCAAAAACGGAATTTTCATAAATGTTCAACTTTTCAGCAACTTCCACACCCTTCCGATAATACCTTAATGCTTCGTATAAATCACCGATTCGTCGATACTCATCGCCAAGTTCTACACAAAAATCGCACACTTTTCGATCATCTTTTTGTTTCGCTGATTTATGTAATTGCCTTTCTAATTCTGTAACACAGTTAATTTACAGGATAACTGCATGTACTTTTTTTTTTATCATCTTTGTCACTTTTCTTTAAATCCTTGTATAACTTGGAGAATTTAATTTATGTGATTTTTAATTTAAAGACTTTTAAATATTTCATTGTAAACTGTGTTATCTTTACAGATAATTATGTATGAACTATATGAGCTATCTACAGAAATATAAATAACCCTTAATGAGTTCATTTCCTCTTTGTTTCTTCTTCGGCATGACTGGTCGACAAGTTAGTGTCCCAATTTCAAAAGTAATTCTTACTTGAGATGGAGATTCTGGAATTATCAAACATTTCACTTGTAATATGATGTAGCAATGGATTGAGCGAAAGAATAATCCTAGCTGCATTTCAGTATGAAATTAAAAATTCAATTCTTCAGATAAATCCATCTTAACATAAAAAATTATAACGTTTATATCTGATGCTGAACATACGTTTACGATGAAAAAAAAATACTGATGACGTTAAAAAATATTGACGAGTACTGAAAATTTACTTAAAAACAGAAGCATAAATATCTGTATATTTAAAGAAGAAAAAAAAGATATATTTCACAAAATATGCGATTGCATATTTTCAACGTATAAATATCCTCATATATTAATTTAATATGGTAAAATAAATGAATGGAATGGAAAGCGTATTTATGCAAAATAGCGTGAAAAATACGTGTGCACAAACAAGCAGGAATACGTCATCCGTAATTTACCAACACAACACTGGCCAGCTAACGCTGCCCTAAAATCGTATCATTCGGAATTTATTTGGTGGGTCGGGGAATTCCGTGTAATGTACTCTAGCAAACGTTAACCTTGTCTTACCCATAAAGCTTGCCCATAAACTATTCAGTTGACAGTGATTCTATCAAACATTAACTTTATCTTACCCAAGTAAAATTTACCCATAATTTTACGCTACCACCGTAATGTCCATAAACTATTCAGTTTACAGTGACTCTATCAAACGTTAACCTTATCTTACCCATAAGACTTGCCTATAAACTGTTCAGTTGATAGTGATTCTATCGAAAACGTTAACCTTATCTTATCCAAGTAAAATTTACCCATAATTTTATGCTATCATTGAATGCTTATAAACTATTCAATTGATTGCGATGATGGCTTACTTAGAAATTGGTTGAGTAATGCTTCACTCAATAGTGGACATGGTTGATTTTTGAAATGAATGAAATTTAACCAGATAAGAAATGGTGGTTATAATTAGTAGCTGCGTTTAATGGCAATAATTATAAAATTAGAAATTCTTTATTGTTTTTTTTAAAGTAATTCATTTGTGTTTTGGTAAATTTATTTGTTAATTTTATAGCAGTTTGAGCACTAGAACTGAATGTTTTCCGATAAGCAGAAGAACACAGATTTGATGATAGAATTTGATTAATAATGTATAGAGCAATAATAAAGTTGCAAATACGTTTAAAAAAAATTTACGAATGAAAAAGTGCATTCAGTTCTGTTCATTCGTATTTCAATCATTTAATGTGACAGTTCTCAATGTTTCAATTGTTATTTTAGATAGCCATCATTACTAAAATAATTTTGGTATTTTAATAATGCGGTACATCCTGTAAAGAAGAGTGTGAGGAATGGAGAGAGAGAGGAAAATATTAAATAATATGAGTTGTGGTTGCTAGGGACACTTTGGAATAAGCTGTCCCATTTGGCACATAAACGGAATTAACTTCATGTTATGTCTTGTAGTTCATTTCTTGTGAGCTATTATTTCCAGATCTTTTAAGTTTTGTCATAATTTGCAATATATCCAAATGTTTTTAAAAATATTTTTTTATTTTTTAATTTTTCATAGTAATAGCTACAAAGTTCTATTAGTTTCAGATATGAGAGTAAGGGAAGTTGGAATGTAATATAAAGTATGATAAATGGAAAAGAAAGGATTAGTTTTTATTTTTAGTTCCTAATTCTAGGTTCGAACTTTTAACAAGTAACAAATTCTTATTAGTTTTTAAGAGAAACATTTATAGTAACAATGGATGAAATTGGTAAATACGATACTATCCTTCTCAGTTTGGCTCAACAAATGGAAGGTGGCGTGCCACAACTTTTGGATGTATTATTCGGGTAATTCCGATCATTTATCAATTTCGTAGGAAAAATTAATTCATGAAAAAGATTGATTAATTTTTGGTATCTTCAAAGTTACAATGTTTTAATTGATGTAATTGATGAGGACAATGTGAATAATGCTCGATTTATTTTATTATTTAAATTAAAGTTTCACAATTTTTTCTTAGAAATTCATTCACTTAGTTTATTGCTTTTTTTCATTTATTTTCAGTTTTCTCTCACGAAAAACGGATTTTTACACTGGCGCTGACATCGTGAAGGCCAAGGAAATGGTCTTGAAGGCGTTTGATAAGCATAGTGAATCGGCGAAAGTGGTAAAAATCTGTATGACATAATTGAAAACAATTGGATCTGGTATGAAAAAATTTTAATTTTGATTTGAAATTTGTGCAAAAATTTCACCAATTTTAAAGGTTGCCGAAGAAGCTAGAAAACGACGTGCGGAAGAGCAAAAACGTTTGGAAGAACGACGAGCAGCACAGAAAGCAAAAGAGGTATTAATTCGTTTATTTGCTTGGAATAAGGGGGCAGACAGATGAGGAGCAGGAAAAAATATTTTTCGGTTAAACAATTCATATGTACAATTTTTTTCTTCCAACGAGTTTGATTTGGAATTGGTTTTCTAAACTGAATGAATTCTAAGATGTAGATAAAATAATAGTTTTATTTTGTGTGTTCTAATAAGTAATTTGAAATGGGAGAAGCCTTTATTGTGTCGGGAAGATTTTTACATAACTATGTGAATCATAAAAAAAAATTCCATCTGCGGAGGACATTGTGGGAAATGATTGGGAGGTGCTATAAATTCTTTTTTTTTTTTTTAAAGCAAGCCGAGATGAATGAGCCGCGGATTCGTGAAATCACTGATGAAGAAGCTGCGGAACTTGAGAAGATGAAAAATGGTAGCATGAAAACTTCATCATCTGAAGGTTTGTATCAAGTTTCACACGTTTTTTTTCAACTTTATTAAGTGAAAATGAAATGTTTTATTTATAAAAAGTAGTGATAGTTTTCTTATTTGTCATGCTTTCACAAAAATTACCCAAAATGGATCATTGTTACAGAGAATGACAAATGTAAAGATAAAGAGAGTGAAGGAGAGGAGGAAGATCCGGAAGATAAAGGAAAGTTGAAACCGAACGCTGGTAATGGTTGTAATTTGGAAAAATATCAGTGGACCCAAACATTAAGTGAAATTGAGGTATATATCATTATTCTTTCAATTCAGTTTTAATATTTCTAATATCATTAATATGTTATGTTACGAATTGTTCGTTATAACAGATTTTGCGAACTGCTGACAGTAATTAACAAGATATATTCAAAGAAAAAAATGAAGGTTAATAGGAAAAAAGAAGTTCATGAGTATTCGGCACATTTTATAGGTTCGCGTTCCGTTGAAAGTTGGTTTTCCGTTGAAAGCAAAGGATGTTATTGTAGAATTTAGTAAAGAGAAACTAAAAGTTGGTCTAAAGGTGAGCTTTTTTAATTAAAGTTGTATTTCTATATCTTTAACACATTTAAATACCCATGTATTATTTCAGATTTCATTAAATAAACTGTATGTTACGTAACATTTCGTACGGACTTATATTGCAAATTTTTGCTTTAATTGATCTATTCTGGACGTGTTCTTTTTATTAGGGTCATGAGCCGATAATCGATGGCTCTCTCCGTGCTGCTATAAAAGTTGAAAGCGCAACGTGGGTTCTTGAAGATCGGAAGACTATTGTGCTTACTTTGGAAAAAGTTAGTTTTGTATTATTATAGAAGCACTAATACATAAATGTCTAAACTATCCAAAATTACAATTTAATTATATGATGTTGCATATACCATAGAACAGATAAAGTGTCGCTTTTTTCCGAAGCCAAAATGCCAATTCAACATATTGAAAATTATAGATGAATGGTATGGAATGGTGGAATCGGTTGATGACAACGGATCCAGAAATAAATACCAAAAAGGTGCAGCCTGAAAACTCGAAGCTTTCTGATTTGGATGGTGAAACAAGACAAATGGTTGAAAAGGTAATCTCAAATATTTCTGAATTGATTTGAATGGATTTTAACTGTTGGGAGAATCTTTTTAAAAAAGTCCTTCCTATCGTTGGAAAAAATTAATTTCTTTTCCAGATGATGTATGATCAAAGGCAGAAAGAATTGGGATTACCAACATCGGAAGAGAAGAAAAAACGAGATTTATTGAAAACGTGAGTTTTTTATAATGTATGCGTACTTCTGGTTTAGTGCTTAAAGGTAAGAAAAGATCGACAGGACCTTGATTTCAAGTATTAATTGAACTTAATGGCATACGTTCAAGGATTTTTCTTCTCAATATATAGAGATGGATTTCTCTTAAAATAAGTTTAATTCCAGATTTATGGAACAACATCCGGAGATGGACTTTTCGCAAGCAAAGTTTTCGTAAATATGATTTCTGTTTTGCTCTATGTAAATGTATCAGAGGTTTTGGAAAATGAAACCTAATAAAAAAGTACTCACTTTGATTCCTTTCGATCAGTTGGTTAGCTGACATGGTTAGCTTATTAAATAACATTTTAGCCTATTCTTTCATAAGATTATTTGCACGCGTTGACCCTAACACTAAATTTCGGCTTTCATTGATTCTGTTGTGGAATTTCATTTTGCTACGTTTTCAGTTTATCTTTGTTAATTTTACAATTTTTTATTTTTCTTAATTTTACAATGTGTATTCTTTGTAAAACATTTTTAATGCAGCAGTAAAATTCTTCTAAACGAACTCTTTATTCTTCCCCACGTGAGAGAAACATGAAAATATGCAAGTTGCAAAGGTGTACAGGCGCATTTCTGTACAGATGTACTCACAAATTAGTGTTCAGACTGAAAACCTATTGGTCATGAATAAAAATAGAAATTCGTTATTATGGAAAAGTGTTGACGAGCGTGGCGCAGATAAAAATCATGCCGATCCCGTAAATTACGCCCGAAGTCATTCCGTAATACAGTAACGCGTGGCTGTAGGAAATTTTGAAATTAGAAAAGGTGTCCATCCTCGCCCAAATACGAAATCTCCGTAATTCCTCGCATACACATAGCTTTTAAGATCAATGAGATAACACCTGTTTTAATATTCGGAAAAACCTAGCTTACGACCATATCTGGATATTTGGACTTTGGATATTCTGTAATGAGGTCTCTTGTTTCTGTCCTCCTATACGTACAATCGCGTCTTCCCCTGGGAAATTCATGCAGTCTTGGTCGAAGTCACATTATAATCTTTACTTTATATATGTGACTTAATATGGCTCATAAAATTATTAATTAATACGACTAGATATTGGCCACGTAAAAAAACCACGCAATTAATAAAACTTACTAGTTTATGTCTTGTCGATTGCATACATTGACTACTTGTTCAGATACACAAATAGTAATCAGAAATGCCTCCATCATCAAGATGTATTGGTTGATTTATATACCAGAAGGGATAAAAAAATTTTATTTATTATCAAAAACATACAATTTCAACATAGACTTTTCCAAAAGTAAAGCAAAAAAGCCAACATGCTTTTTACAACTTCAGCTTTGTTCGGCGCCAATGTCTTCTTTTCGCATTGTAGCGAATCTTACTTCCTGTCTTCATACGAGCCCATTGAGGTAACGGTCTAAAATGTGTTAAAAAGTTGCTAAAATAAGACCACGTTACAGTTGATAAAATGCTCTGTATAAGTAAAATTTCCACTGAAAAATATACTAGATAGGGACTGAATCAATTTGAAAGAGGAAACCATGATGAAATAATTAAGCATTTCATCAATAAGCTAAGACGCTACCGAACTATAAAATCAATTACATGGACAAGAACTGATTTCGTGACAAAAAGGCAGATTAGACGTTGATTGAAAGTAGTCTACCTACCTATTCTGTTTCGCCTTCTTGGCTAATTTACGCTTAATGATGAATGTTTTATGCGCTGCCATCACAAGAGATACACCTATGTGCAATGCAAATGCTGAAACAAAAAACATTTCATAAACATTTTGGTCATAGTTATAGAGGATGAAAATGAATCACACACAATCATATATATTTTTAAATAGAGTTCGATTTTTCTCTTTTTTTCTTACACTGCATGAATAAACTACAAATAATTAACAGCAAATTTTTGATAGCTAAATGTTAAAAGTTTTTAAGAGTAAATTTTTGATAACTAAACGCCAAAGTTTTAAAAGCTAAAAATTGATTGGAGCAGAAGTATGATCACGCACACATGCCACGTGATGCACGTGAGATAAAAAAAACAAACGCAGCATGCCTCAGCTCACATCCTACAAACACGCCCACACGCCACCCAAATTTTGTGTACCTAAATTGTATTGCCAACCGCTAATAGAACAGGTCAGATATTTACTGGATAGGCACTTTCGTTTTCTGTTAGTATGTACAGTTATTTTTAATTTCTGAAATATTTACCAGACAGTCATTTTCACTTCTCGTCGGCATTGTCCTTTTATCCTAAATTAACTAGATTAACTTTATCCTAAATTTAGGATAAATTACTTGGGATAGATAAATTGACTTACCTGAGTTGCTGTGAAAAATTAGGTATGAAATATGCCGAAATAAATATTTCTTTATTTTTCAGAAGAAAGATGAATAACAAATGAACAATATGCGAAATTAGTAAAGAGAAAAAAACTGGAAAAAAAACGGAAAGCTATTCGAAAGAATGATTAAAGCAATATTGGTATTTAATAATCATGGGAAGCCACGTTTGTTGAAATTCTATGTCCACTATGTAAGCTAAAAAAATATCTTGACATCAAATATAATTATTGGGAGAATTTAATTTCAATATCAGTAATATTAAAGTTTTCCTGAAATTAAATTCTCCCATTATCATTTCTTCTTCATGGTGAATAGATTAATCTTGCAAGAACATTATATTGAATAAGGTAAGTAGATACGTTATTGAGATTCTGGTGGAACCAAAAAGAATGTGAGAATTGAAATAGTTGAAATAGTGCTTGCTAGCTTAGTTGAAGGATTAAAAGAATAATAGCATTTCTATTTAAAATTTAGCAGGATGTTTGAATTTATTAAATAACATGAGATTTTATAAAACTAATCGATATGTTTAAATTCTGCATTTCTTTGTAGCTACAAAGATTAATAAATGTCATCTTTCTCTGTCCGAATATATTAATTATCTGCAAGGTAGCAATTGAAATTAGGTATTCTATCGAGGAAAGTTTTGCAGTTTTTCATAAAATTTTACAAATTATAATTGTACAAAATTTTATTGTAAGTAATACAGTCAGTATTGATTTGCTTAAAATTAACATAATTCATGTACACAGTTGAAGTAACTGTTTAAATTTGTAGCCTGAAGAAGAACAACAACATATTATACGCGAAACATTCCAGTTGGTTTCGAAACGAGATGATAATGTTTGCAATTTTCTGGAAGGTGGCTCATTAATTGGTGGATCTGATTATAAATTAATATATCGACACTATGCAACGCTATATTTTGTATTTTGTGTTGATTCATCCGAAAGTGAACTTGGCATTCTTGATCTGATACAGGTGAGTTGGTGCTAAATCAAGGAAAACTATGTCTTTTGCTGGAATTTGTGGAAGTAATTATAAAACAACTAATAATATTAAATAAACTTCATGAAAGATATTCTAGACTATTAGCGAGAATGCAGAATTCCTCTTTTGCCTAATATTTTGAAAAAAAAATATAGAAATGTTAAGTAAATTTCATGGTGCCTTCTAAACTGCTGGCCATTTCCAAATTGAAATTAGGAAGCGAAGAATGTATAAACACAAATTAGTAATATAGAAAGAAGAATCTCACACCTGTGAAAGCTTTTTTTTATTTGTTGTCTTATCTTTAAGCGTTAGTGATTAATAAAATGTTAATAAGAAAAGTATTTTTTTAGGTGTTTGTTGAAACGTTGGATCGATGTTTCGAGAATGTTTGTGAACTGGATCTGATCTTTCATGTTAATAAGGTAATCTTCATCAAAGTTTTTGTTAAGAGATGCAATTATTATTATAAAAATGTGTTCTCGATGTTTTGCTTATTGTTTACTTAATTTTATATAAATTTATAGGTGCATCACATACTTGATGAATTAGTTATGGGAGGAATGGTGCTGGAAACAAATATGAACGAAATTCTTTTACGAATACAAGAACAAGAAAAGATGGAAAAGGAGGAGGTTCACACTCGTTATTTTTAATGCCCGATCCAGAATTCAGAAATTATCATCTACATATTTTATGTTCAAAACCTCGGGGAAATGTGGATGAGTAAAAGTTTCTGTTGCCAAAGATGTTTTCCAATTAATTACAGCACCTACACTTCATTTTTATAACGAAGTCACAATCAAGAACTTCACAAACAGTTTTCCAGGCCGGAATTGCAGCAGCTCCAGCTCGTGCTGTTAGTGCTGTGAAAAGCATGAATATATCGCAACATATCAAGGATTTCAAGCTTGCTGATATCAATTTATCGAACATAAAAAAGCCTTTTTGATAAGCATATTATATCCTGCCATCCTTATGTATAATAATGATAGTTAGAGCCAGGCGTTGGTAAGTATTCTTTGGAGAACAAATACACGTTCATAACGATTTGTTATATTAAATTCTCTACTCAAAATGATTTTATTTTCTGGTGCTTTCCCCTTCTCTGTTATAGAATAAAATTTGTCAAAACTATCTGTTTGTTGTGTATAGCGCTTTTTCGAAGAGGGTGACCAAATTTGTATAATTAAAATTGTTCATAGTGCTAAATATAATACAATTTTGATTCATTACCAATTTGTATAAATATATGCTAACCAAATTGTACTATGTTAGATTTAGATACTTCTTGAGTTTTTTAATTAGTTAAGATTTAAGACGTCAGAGTGGTAATATTTGGAAAATATTGAGTATTTCATTGTTTATTTTCTTTATGTATCTATTTTTATTACTTTCTACGTTATGCAGTACTGTGATAAAGTGTTCGTTTTCATTCTGCATATTTGTTTTACATTTTAGACTGTCCAAAAATCGAGATAAATTTGCTTTTTTTAATTGAATTTGTATGTAACAGAATTACTTAAACAACTATTTGTTCAAACATTTAAGTAAGAAAGCATTCTATCGATAAATTGAACAGACATTTCACCTAATTAACTCCTATAATTAGGCGTAGATATATCTATTTAAAGCAATTTTCGGAAAGAGTACGAATTTCCCTCATATCAGCAAAAATTGTTTGTATTGATTGATGTAAGCAAACTATTTTTCAAAATAAGTTTTTTTCATCCCTCACATCGTTCTACTTGCTTATTTGCTGAAAATAATTTATTACGATACCCACTTATAACCGGAATATTTTTAAGCACTTTAAATAGTTCTAACTCCTCTTCTTTATTCACTAGAATTTATATCAGATTAGAAGCTCTAATTATAGGTTGCTAACGAATATTTTAGGTTAATCGTTCTCTTCATCACATAATCTATTAAATATTCAATATGTATTTTTTTTAAAGAAAATTTTAGTTTGTTAGCTTGAGTTTTAAGATTTTTAATTTTTTAAAGAGCTGTCTTTGGTATTTTCAGTTAAAATGGAAAAGAAATTACATAAGTTTTAAACTCTAAGGATGGTAGTTAGCTACGGTTTTTCTAGAATTTCGATTTATGCATATATTCAACATTATTCCCTTTTTCCTATTGACCGGAGCAACAACTTTTGCGAAACTTCATTTTCCGGCTGAACATCATCTCAGTAATATTCGTCAGTTAACATTTGGCGGACAAAATGCCGAAGGATATTTTAGGTTAATTTATTTCATTCATCACATAATTCATTAAATGCTCTCTTTTTATTTTTATATGTTTTTTTATATGTTATATTTTTTAAAGATAGTTCTATCATTATATGTGCCTTCTCATTGTCATCTATTCTATGAGAAGAATAAATTGGAAATTTTAAATGAATTAATCATTTAAAATATTGCTGTGCTAAAACTTGTAAGTCTATTTTTCCTTCCCTCGTATGTTTATGTTTTTTTTTTCTTTTAAAAAATTTACAGTATCGTTACGCGGGTATTTTAAGTTTTGACGGAAAATGGCTAACATTTCAAGCAACTGGTATACCGGAATACGGCACATCTTGTGATCAGGTGTTTCTTTTTCAACATTTTAATTTTTAATTAAATTTTGATTCTAAAATATATTCCAATAAATCTTATTCATTTCTAACTTCTATCGTTTAATGAATCCTTCTATATGGAATTTTTGTGATTCATTAAAAGCTTATAAAAGCAAATTAAAGCTGTTGCAAAAGAAGTGAATATTTATTCCATTTTATCCTCTTACCAATCTTTTTGAAGGGCAATTCTAAATTTTTTATGAAATTACAGATTTACAAGCTTGATCTAACTGTCCCACCGGAAAAACAATTTCCGCAAAGAATAAGCACAGGTGAAATTTATTTTTTGTGACAGTAGCTAATTTCCGAATTTCATTTATTTTCAATTTTATACTAATATATACTTTATTTGTAGGATAAAAGTTGTTCCATTTCATCTTCTAATTCATTAAAAAATTTCATTCCAGGTATCGGAGCCTGTACTTGTTCCTATTTTTATCCAGACAATCGTCACATGATCTATGCGGGAACATTCCAACATGCAAATTTCACCTCATCAATGAATATTGAAAGTTGCCCGATGAAAACATGTCAGACGCAACGTGCTAAAACTGATCCACGTTTAAGGCATCTCTGTAAGTAATGAAATTCTTTATATTTTGCATTGCAAAATTTTCTAAATATCTTTTGTGCTCATTATCTATTTTAATAGCTATGGGAAAAACTTTTAAATTACAGAATTTATGTTTTAATTCTTTGTTCTGATCTAATTCTGATATTCAATTTAACCATTTTATTTTTCATATATTAAAGCATTTAGTGATTATTCCCTTTTACTGTAAATATTATTTTCATTACGTTGAGCAATAAGTTCATGCAACAGAATAACAAAATCAAAGAATTTGAAATTTTCATTGTAAATTCATTTGAAGAAAAGAAACTAGGATGTAAACGTGAGAAATTAGTATTATGAAAATGAAAACTTTGAAATTTATTATTTTGCTAAAATATTATAGATGTTTCCCTTTTGTAATAAAGCTTTTGAATATACGTAATTGTATTTTGTTAAGATTATAAATCAAAATTTTATAGGTAATACAAGTTATACATGGGATCTATTTCCGGAATACGATATTTTTAAGGTTTTTCCGAAAACTTTCAAGTATAAAGAAATAAAATTTTCACTTTCAAATTAACTCTTTTACTATATTTTTATAAAAATTTTTTTGTATTTTCGAAAATATATGAAATTTTTTGCCAAAATATTTTTTCAAAATTTAATTTTCTAACTACTTGCGAATTATAGGTGAACGAGTTTGGTACAGTTATACAGCGTTTGACCGATACAGTAGGATATGATGCAGAAGGAGCCGTTTCGCCGGATGGTCAAAAAATTGTATTTACCTCATTGAGAAGTGGTGATCCGGAAATTTGGATTATGAATTCGGATGGAACAGAACCAAAACAGGTTTAGCAGTATATTTTATCACTGCTCCATTATCATCATCATCGAATATTGTTTCAATTTGTTGAATTCCTAAATTGATGTATTAATTATAGATATTTTCTCATTGCATATACATTTATTGTTTGTTAATAAAATAAATATCATTTTATTTTTTAACTATTGTAATATTTATTTTATAACGGTATTCTATAAATTTATTTCAGTTAACGAATGAACTTGGTTATGATGGTGGTCCATTTTTTAGTCCGGATGGATCTAAAATTGTTTTCCGTGCATCAAGACCGAATACCAGTGACGAAATTCAAACATACAAAGATTTACTCTCGTATGCTAATTATTCATTAAACTAGGGTAATAAGTGCATCGTAATATTTTATAGTGTATTGCATTCTTTAATTATGACACTGTTTGCATTAGAAAGTTAATGCGCAATCCTACTTAGCAGAGTACCATTGCGCATTAACTTTCTAATGAAAACATTCGTTAGTGATAAGTGCCAATTAGAATCGAGCATTAACTTTTTGATGAAAACTCATCATGTTGTATTCTAAGCTTGCAACTATTTATTTAATTTCAATTTGAAAAAAAAAAATAAATTTTTTTATTTTTTCAGCTATAATTTAGTGTCACCGCTTCAAATGGAACTTTATACAATTAATATTGATGGTAGTGGCTTAAGAAAGGTTACATCTCTTGGTGGTTCCAATTGGGCTCCATTTTATATGCCAGATAATCATCATATTATCTTCAGTTCAAATTTCAATGAAACTGGTGGACATTTTGGAGCATTTAATTTGTATATGATTAATGAAGAGGGCGGAAATGTTGAACGGGTAAACATTTTGAAATGCGTAATTTTTTGTATTATTAGAAAAAAACTATCTGGAAATTCAGGATAAAACATTTCTTGGTGATGTCGCAACTATCGTTGTCAAGGGAAATTCACTGAAAACATCAATCATTTTATTATTCATTCAAAACATGCTTTGAAATTTTTTGTTTTTTAAACAATCTAATAAATTATGCTTGAACTTTTTGATGTATACTTAAGTTAAAGACGAAAAAACCGATAACTTTCAATTTTTCATAACAGATAACTTTCAATGAAGGTGGATTTGATGCTTTTCCGATGTTTGATCGAACTGGTCGACGGTTGGTTTGGGGCAGTAGTCGAAATGGACGAAGTCGAAGTGAATTAAATCTTTTTATTGCTGATTGGCATGATACTTACACGATGAAAATTGGAAATGATATAAAGGTGCTAATATTTCTTATTCTCAAACAAATGCACGTACGAATAATTAAATGATTGTAGTAATTTGAGGTATTTAAATAATTTGCTAGTAAAGTAACATCATGAATGTATATTCTTCTTTAATTTATTGCATGGAATATTATATTTAAAAAAACGATTGCAAAAAAGTAATTTGAATACATTACTTTTTTAATTTTTTTTATTTTTTCATTATTCTCTGTAATAAAAATCAATTGAAAAGATTGAAGGAGCAATCTATTCAGGTTAATTAAAATGAATATTTTTCCCATTAATTTTTATTAATCACATTTATGGTTGTTGTTTTTTCTAGCACATTTTCTATTGTATTTTTTCTTTTTTTTAGGAAGAAAATTTGACTTTGCCCAATTTTTGGGAAATGGAGAAAAATTTTCCAAAAAAGATTGAACAACTCACCAAAGATGATATTAACATGGCGGGTTCTTTCAGGTAAATTTGTACCACATATGACACTGCATGTCAAGCCAAATCAATATCTGGTTAAACAATTTGTAATTTAAATTTATTTACACATGCGTATTTCTAAAACCATCAAATCACTTACTCTATAAAATATGGCAATTTAAGTTACATTTCATGGAAGAGTATCGGTAATAGATAATGATTCTCAGTTCCCAACAGACTTTTTAAAACCAGTTTATTTATTATACAAAAATAATTTTCAAGAATTACATTTAATTTGTGGAAATTTTGTAGCATTGTAACTAATTTATTGTAATTTTTATTTTATTTTGTAGTTTTGATGATAAAAGAGTGATTTATGAAGGATATGGTACTCATCTTTATGATACAGTGTGTGAACAGGTTTGTTTTCGATTTCATTGAATTAGATTTTAATTTGATCAGATTTTATTCTCATTATTGTAACCCATCATAATTCATCATGCATCATTTTGCTTAGGTATTCGATTTAAGCCTTATAAGTGCAACACGAAGAATTCGACGTTTAAGCACAGGTAGCTCTCACTAAATTTTGCCATAATTTCAATCCAATTCTAATACTTCATTTAAATGCCAGTAGTTTTATTATTAAATTTAGCACATACAATTTTTGGCAAAAAAGAGATAACAGTAAATTTTTTAGGTATCGGCGCTACCCGTTCACCGATATATGTATCTGATGGTGATATCATATTATATGCTAGTAATGTGCTCACTGCTAATCGTTCTACCTTAAATAGTTGTCCACGACGAGCATGTAGCGATACAAGACAATCATGGATAAAAGAAATTTGTATGCCTTTCAATTTTGATTTTTCACATTTTTATTCAACACAACGAATGGATTATTTTGTTTATTATTTATTTATTTGTCTTCTAATTGTTCCACTCATAATTCTCTATTAATCCTTTAATTTATCCTGTACCGTGCATTCTAAGATACTGTATTATTTCTTGGTCGTTACTGACACTTGAATAGTATGAAGAAGACGTCAAAGCCCAATTTTTTGAATGTAGATTTTTCGTACAGTTTCAAAATATTAATATTAAAAATTTTTCAACTGTAAAATATATTTCTCGATCCCTCATATTTCTTCTGTACTCTTATTTTTCATCTTTTTTCACTACTAGCAGATAAGCGTTAATTACGTAAGCATTTTTTTTTCAGGTAAGCTATCACATATCCTGGATTTATATCCGGATTTTGAACTGATCAAGGTGAACAAGTATGGCAATTTTATTCAACGTCTAACAAATACTCCAGGTTATTTGATATTTATTAAATGGATTTTATTGCGGTACAAGCACAAAATATATTCCAATGTGGTGTGTATAACGTTTCAGCGCATTTATTTTTTCTCTCTGCAAATTTTCTTTTATCAATTTTTGCAGTTTCCTATTGATACTAATCACTATGTTCTCTTATCACTTTTTCACAAATTTACACATAATTATACATCATTATTGTGAGTATATTGAAATTAGCCTAGTCTATAAATTCCAGGTTATGATGGTGATGCAAGTATATCCTCAGACGAAAGACACATTATCTTTACTTCGAGAAGGGCTGGTGATCCCGATTTGTGGACAATAGATATGAATGGAAAAAATGCTAAACAGGTATTGGTTTAAAGTTCTAACCAACTCATTTCTGGCTAACTCATAATCTAACTAATTTATTTCTAACTAGCTCATAATCAGATGTAATTCATCTTCGTCCATAATATGAACGGAGATGAATTGCATCTGATTATACGCTTGCTTTCCAGTCGATATATTACTTCTATCGATATGTGATTTCTGGAATCGTTATCAAATGATGGATATGAATGATTTTATTTCACTTCCTGATTCACTTTCTACACCGTTGTCAGAATATTATAATATCAGAATATTATAATATAAGACATCGCCGGAAAAAAAAAAATGCACTATGTTTAAAGAAACATTGGTTCCCGAGGAAGATTTCATTCAAAATTTTCCTAAAAAGCATTTAAGAGAATTTTAAATGAAAGATTTTGTCGCAGAAAAATACTCTATTGTTATGTACTCGTTCACTACAGATGACAAAAACTACCGGTTATGAGGGTGGTGCAGCATTCAGTCCCGATGGACGATTTATTGTTTTTCACGCTTCGCGTCCAAGATCACCCATTCAACTTGTCAAATATTACTGGTTATTGTGGCAGCAAGTTTCACTCTTTTATCTTTCTCGAAGATTATTAGCATTTGTTTTTTTTTTCTTTTAATCTATACAATCTTTAATTTTGAAATATTTATTTGTAACAGTAAACGATTTTGTTGTAATTATTATTAATTGAAAAATTTATTTATTTGGTGTAGTTTTTCAGGTACAATGCTGTCGAACTCGCTGACACTCAAATATTTCTTATGCATAGCGATGGAAGTGGTTTGAGGCAATTGACAAGAAATGGAACAAATTTATGGCCCACATTTCTAAGCAATAAACGAATTTTATTTTCCTCCAATGGTATTTTAGCCGATGGTACATTCAATATTTTTGCTGTTAACATTGATGGAAGCCAATTGGAACAGGTATGAATTTTAGCAAAATTTTGTTCGAATGTTTTTCGCGTGCTTAAATTTTGACGAAATCTAAAAATCATATTATTTTAATTGTTGCTGATTATATTAGCAGTCAATTGAAACAATCATAAAATTTGTCTATTTGATATTCTCATTGTTGTTATTCTAGATTACCACTGATCGTGATTATGACAATTTTCATCCTGCAATTTCTCATGATGGAATGAAATTGTTGTGGAGCCGAAATACCACTGATGACGGACAGATGAATTTGTATCTGGCATTAATTGGCAAAAAATTTGAAACTCAATAGGAATTTCAGCATTTTTTCAAACAAATTATTAAATTATTAAAATCCTTTGCCAATAAATTCTATCGTTTCTAATCACTTGACTAGCTCGTAGTGAATTAATTTTTTTTAATTTTTATGGAATTTTGGAGAAATTACCGAAACCACTATAAATTACCGAAACCACTATAAATTTTGCTTTTGTTCCTTAATAACAATGCAAATGCAATGATAACATATTTTCATCATACGATAGTAAAGATAACGACCATTTCAAATGAAGTACAAGTAGAAAGCGTTGTGGAATGAAATTTTCTAAATTGGGAAATATTATAATAGATATTATTCAAGATTTAATACTGCAATGTTGATTAGTATGCTTATTATCATCCCAACAGTGTTCATGAAAATCGAATCGGATTAACAAAAAAAAGATGAATTCAACTGTAATAATCCTAATAATTTAGGGATAATTTTAGCCAGTATTATTTGTAAATTATTTTATGTTGGTTTACTTAAGTTTGTTTGGTTTAATTTAGTTTGGCACAATTAAATGGTTGTGAAAAGTTATTTTATATAATGGAAAGTTTTAATCAGTCATTCACTTATATAAACTTTTACTGATAAATAGTTGGAGTTTGAAAAGAGATTTGGATAAGATAGAATTGAAATGTTAGAGACAGGAAATTTTTTTTTTTTTTTGAGATGGAAAATTTTCTTTTATAATCGATTAGGCATGAAAAATTGAAGGATGTAATAATGATACAAATAGTAATTGATTATAAAAGTTACAACCTTAAACAAATAAGATTTTGCATAATCATAATTAAAAATTTTTTGACCGACAATTCCTTAGATGAGAAAATTTAGAATATGAACTTCCACAAATACTTTCATGAAAATTAACAATTTTAAATTTGTGTTTCTGACAGTTACATTATTTTTATCGTACTAAAGAGTAACGATCATCAAGGAAACTTCACCTTCTCTTTCTTAATTAATAATCACATCTTCTTCGAATTTTGAATGATAGCTAAAAGTTACTGTTGAACCGGTTTCAAAAGTTTTCAACTTCATATAATCGAAAGGAATGTATTCCGATTGAAAGAAATAATGGACATTTGCCATGAAATTTAACATGTTTCTCGTGTTTCGCTTTTTATTTCAAAAGGACATTATTAAATAAACAGATAAGAAGGAGTAGCATACCGTGCAAAAACAATAGTTGTACATTGCGAAATTTTAAACTTGAATTTAAAAAGCATGCATAAATCTGACAAAAACCATAAAAAGGTTTTTTTTTCGATTTGGAATAGTTAAAAATTCGTTAAAATTTCCTTAAAGTTTGAAACTAGGATGCGTGAAGATGAATTATATATCCAATTAAGAGAAAACACAAAAATAGTATGAGAAGTAATAACTGTAAATGACTGCTTCAGAGGATACTTTCTCGTAAAAATTTACCAAAATATGAGGATATTTTGACTAAATTTAATACATTTTCAGAAAAGAAGAAATAACTGATAGTATTAGTTTTGATTTGTCACAAAAATTTAGAAATTTTGATTCTCACCTTAGCGAATTGTAATGAAAGTTTTTTTTTTTTTTAAATACAATACATAGGCTGAGGAATTTCAATAAAAGTAAGTATCAACGAAGAATGATTAAAATGCATCATTATTATTTTGTACATGC